CCGTCACTTCAACTTGCTTTCTTGTGTGTTCTGCTACGACAAGTGATACAGGTTACAACCATCATTCTGTGAGACTTGTACAAACTGCTCTACAATCTCCTGCTTCCAGCTGTGTCATCCAGAATATCAGCGTTCTTCTGCAAGCAAGACTCCTGTATTTCTTCGTTGTTGTGTTGCAGAAGCCATTGGCTGTCGGTCATTATTATCTTTGTGTGGAGTCTGGTCAAACCCTGGTGGCAGCCATGTTTGTTTTTATTATTAGAGAATGCTTACGTGCCTAATCATTCCATATTTGGAATTTGCATTTCCTAATATGGTAGGATGAAAATACTCTGTAAAATCTCTCAAAATTACGGCAGGCTGCAACTTATGGTGACAGATGTATAATAAGATATTTTATTAGCACTAAAAAGGTATTTGTTAAAATGAAAAGCACGAAATCAGGTATTAAGTATTGGAGGTATTATGGGTGACTGGTTTGCAAAAATGCACTTGCAATTAGCACGATTAACACAAAGTCAGAAAATGTTGCCATACACAAAAATGTTAAAAATAAGTCGAAAACAGAAATATTTGTTGTGTACATACCAGGTATGTCAAACAGTTTATGTCTAAACAATGGCTAGCACCATCCACTTTTATTATCACCATTGATGAAGGCAGCTATGATGACAACAAAAACATACTGCTGCTGAAACTTTGAATAAGATAGAACTAATTAGGAAATGTATATCTTCAACCCCTTATGAAAACTGTGTGATAAAAATCAGACAAAATTTTTAATATAAAATTTTAATGCATATGACCAAACTGCTGCAAAGATACACATCTTAATGAGACATTGACGTGAATTATCTAAGTAATAAGCACATTATTGCAAAACAATCAATAAAAAAATCATTACAAGGCGAACACACCCTCAAATGTATTTTGCAGCCCTTGGTCACATGGCTAACACACCCTTGCATGTCTGTTGTAGCCCTTAGTCACATGGCTAACACATCCTCACATGTTCTTTTCAGTCCTTGGTCACATGGCTAACACACCCTCAAATGTCCTTTGTAGTCATTGGTTGCATGACTAACACACTCTCATAGTGCAAAAATACGGCAAAGTAGTGGAAAAGCAAAGTACGGCAAAGTAGTGTCAAAGTACTGCAAAGTAGTGGCAAAGTACGGCAAAAGTGTTGGCAAATTACGGCAAAGTAGTGGCAAAGTAGTGACAAAGTATGGCAAAGTAGTGACAAAGTATGGCAAAGTAGTGGCAAAGCATGACAAAGTAGTGGCAAAGCACGGCAAAGTATTGGAAAAGTACGGCAAAGTAGTGGCAAAATACTGCAAAGTAGTGGCAAAGTACGGCAAAATAGTGGCAAAGTACTGCAAAGTAGTGGCAAAGAACGGAAAAATAGTGGCAAAGAACGGAAAAATAGTGGTAAAGTAGTGGCAAAGCACAGCAAAG